CGAGGATGCTCCAAGGCCGAGGTGGTCAGTGGGTCATAACGGTATCAACAACAACAAACACAGCAACAGGCAATCATGAATGACGCCATAGCTGCCACCAGGAGCTCATCCACTGACGCGGCTAATTCTCACTTTGAGGAAGTTTTCTCAGCAGTGCTCTCACGCCCGTTTTACGACAGGCTAATGTTGCTGCTGCCATTTCTCCGAATTCTCATCGATTTCTCCTTAACCTGAAAGTTGGTGGGCATTTTTGTTTGTGTATTCACATTGGTCGCTTGAGCGCTCTCCTTTTTCTCCCCTTTTAGTCATGGGAGCCTAGCTGAGCAGCGTTGCCTCCCTCCTTATTCCTTTTTTCTTTCTTTTTCTGATTTCATCATGTCCGCTAGTGAATAAAAGCAATAATAATAAAAATAATAATAATGGCTGGTAGGTCGTTAATGGTCGTTAGAAGTTTGACAGGTGGTGGGAATTAGGAGGAGGACAGTTTCTGTTATTCTAACGAGCAAGCGGCTCTTCTCATTAATTAAAAGCAACTTTTTTGTGTGTGCTTTATTGGAAGACAAACAAGGACGGCCACTTGTCGCACCTTTAGCCGCCCTCAAGGCAACTTTTACAGTTTTGCAAAAGTTGTTGCTGCTGCTGTTGCTAGTTTAGAGGCTTTGCACACATCTATCTTTTGAGCNGTGCTTTATTGGAAGACAAACAAGGACGGCCACTTGTCGCACCTTTAGCCGCCCTCAAGGCAACTTTTACAGTTTTGCAAAAGTTGTTGCTGCTGCTGTTGCTAGTTTAGAGGCTTTGCACACATCTATCTTTTGAGCGGCCTAGGGCCTGTAAGAGCCTTTGTGTCACCCCAGCTTTTGCTAAAAGAAATCAGAGCTCTCGTCTAGGAACTTGACAACTGCATCTCTAAATTCCTTTGCGTGGCTCTGGTGGACGTTGTGGCTCGCCTCGGGAAAGCGCTTCAGCTGGCAGTTGGCGATGCTGGCCTTGCAGTAGGTCGCCTGGTCAAGGCCAATCAGTGGGTCCTAGAAAAGAAAAAAAGTTTTTAAAAAGTTAAAAAACTTTTCCTCTAAGTACACTGACCTTATCTCCGTGCACAATGAGCACTGGGCAGCGAATCTTCCCTTGACCATGATAGAGCTGCTCGTGAATAGCAACTCGAACGTCCTTTGTACGCTCTTCAGGTTTCAGATTCTCAACGTGCGCCAGCACCTTCGCATGAAGGTCTTTGCAGAAGTTGATGTGGTCGTCCCAGAGCGACTGCAGCGACTCCTCACCGTAGACGGCGACGTAATTGGCTCGTAGGCCAATGTCCCAGTGGTCGACATTCTGTGTCTTGATGGTGGGGAGGATGTTCGTTTGAGTGCAGAAGGTGAAGATGCCCGAGGCGACGATGGCGTTGACGCGAGATGGCTGGAAGATGCCCAGGAGGATGGCCACCTTGGCGCCGTCTGACCAGCCGATGACGGAGTAGTTGCGGTAGTTGAGGTGCTGGAAAAAGGGAAGAAATTAGAACAGTTTCGAAAGGGGTTTTTTCCACATCCATTCACTCACCTCCATCAACTTTGCCGCACAAGTGACATCATTGTCGTAAACGGAGAGACCGTAGGGTCGCTTGGGCGGCCGGGAACGGCCCCAACCGGCGAGCTCAATCACCACAAAGGTGTAGCGCTTCAGGTTGAAGGCGTCAGCGCCCTCGAGCTGCTGGCGAAAGTCCGTTACAGCGGTGCCTGTGGTGAAGTATAAAAAAGAGCTTAGAAAATAGAAACATCTAATGAACATCGAAATATCCCTTACCCAATGCTCCGGGAATGAGAAGGACGACCGTCGATCCAGTTCCATAGCGGTTGTAGTGAATTGGAAAGCCATTCACCTCCACTGAGCCTGTGTCACGAAGAGCTGCCTCCATTGCTTTTTACAAATAAACTTCACAGCTGCAAACAAAGGAACGAAATGAGATAATAGAATCGATAAAATTCAGCAGTACTCACCACCAACAAAGTCGTTCGATGAGATCTTCTTTTCCTCGTCTTCCTCCTCTTCAACGTTTCTAGAATCTTCGACTTACGTTGTTGCTCGTTGTCAAGACACTTACCTCTATGTTATCGCCACGTTGCTGGCACAATCTTCAGCGCCCAATCCGAAAAGGAAATGTAATTGACGACTACGACGACTACGATGACGACTTCGACGACGATTTGAGAAGGATAAAACAGTTGACTAGTGTGAACAGTCTATTGCTGGCTATCGAGCTGTGAGGGCTATAAATAAAATCACCACTGCACACACTGACTGACTATCAGCAAGACTAGCAGAGCCTGTACTAATGAGGAAGAGGAGGAAAAAGTATCAACGTGAACACTTCAACTGTCAACGTCAACTTTTTCGGCGAGGCCACTGAGGCGGAAAGAAACGGGTTGTCGATACTCTTCTAATTACCACTGCACTGGTTTGCACTCTGTGCTTGAGGTGAAAGACAGTACAGCACCCGGAAAGGCCCAACTTTGTCGGACAGCTGATCACCCCAGTTTGTTGGCCGACTCTGGTTTCTCCGACTCTCTGGTACTTCAACAGCTCTCTTATCGCACCGGTCATATTGAGTTTGATGCTGATAGCTGCTGCTGCTGTTGAGGTACTTGTGAGGTACTGTCTCTAACTTGTACTTCTGCCTTTACTTTATGACAAAACAATAATAAAAAGTAGTGTTTTGATGGGCCCTATCAATGGGGCAGAAAAGGAGGGAGTTGATAAGGGTGGTGTTTCGAAGAAAAGAAAAACGAAATCGGCGGTCCAAAATCACTTTCGGACCAGCTAGGCTATTTCGCCAAAGCAAGTGGATTCTTGTGCAGGCGCTGTCGGCATAGGCGACATTTGTTTGGAAAAAACTGGCAAAAAGTGCCGGTTCGCTCAAGGACGCATGCTGTTTTATTTCGGTTGTACCGTTTCCGTTATCAGCTCGTCGTCCACCTTATCTCTTGGTCCCAACTGGTTCACCAGCCTGCTGAATCCGCCACTATCGATCTGCTGCAATCCTTATCAAGAGCAGCAGCAGCAGAGGCAGCAGCTGCTCCCGCCTCTCTGCCTGCATCAGCGGCGCTTGCAGAGACTCTATCTCTGCAGCTGATCAACAGACACGTTGTTTGTTGTACATTGTATAACAGAAAC